CCATTCGAGTCACAATATTAACATAAAAATGACTTTCGTTGCATTTGACAATGATAAACTTACCGAAAAGCCGTGTTATTCACGGTCGCTAACGTCGGTATAATCCGCCATTTTATTTTATTTGAGTGTGTTTGCCATCCGGTGACGTCATCATGTGCGCTATAGAAGGAGGTATGTGATTCGTTGACTAAAATCGTCGATAGTGGGTCTCGTTGAAATCTCGTTACATAGGCGTCGGATCAGATGTAGGTAGGGCGGAATTAAAAAAAATCACAAAATCAAAGTAAAATAATGAGATAAAAGGGCATTAATGACAAAAGTAATAAAAAATAAAATTAAAATAAGTTTATAGCCAAAATAATTAAAGCCCGTACACTACATCAGATTTTAATCAGATTGATCTGTACACTGTGAATTGACATTTATGGAGATTATTAAAGGTCTTTCATAAACAATGCATATTCAGTTTAATGATGATACTTTTGTGTTTGTCTGCTACTTCATTTTTATATTTATTGAATACTCTTATTTTTGTAATAATCCGACGTGTTTCTCGTTTGCCCGTGTAACATAATTTTCTGACATTCTGACATATAGATATACATGTATATTAATACCAACACCCACACAAAATGATTATGATCCACGTTAAAAACAGACTAAATCAGTTATGGGTTAGTATTGTTAAAAACAAAATAGCATTTCGGCACATTGACAAAATTCCCGTCCACTTTCCTATGTTTGGGTTCTCCGTGATTCAATTTCATCCACAGTTCTCTGACTATGTGCTAGTTACTTTAAAGGGGCGCATAGGTCCGGCTTGTATGAAAATTGAGATCTATGAATGAATTCTGGCGATTTAAACAACTCGTGCTGCGAAATACCCTGAACATCGGGTATAAAACGGGCTGTGAAGTAGACGACAAACGTCCTCTTTGCCAGGCGTCATTTAGTCTTCGCCCCCTTAAATCCCTCGTGGAGAACACTGAATACTCAACTAACAATACAATGTATTTGATCGGGACGGGAAATGTGAATGCAGGGCGCTTGTTGACCGATGCAGGGCGCACGACTACCTATGCAGGGCGCACGACTTCCTATGCAGGGCGCTGCGCCCTGCTAAAACCCCTCGTGAAGAACACTGATGTATGTATCACTTCCACAACATGTTTATAAAGGTTTATGTGTACTCTCTAAGAATAGAGAGATATGGAGGAGTGTGCCCATTTATGATAGAGTTGTGAGAACAAATATAATAGCGTTAAGGTAGAAGCCTAGTCATAATTTTTGGCAAAATTGGTCATAAATCGCATGACAATGTTCATTAGTTTATTATGTACAATTATGAAGCTAATGTCGCATAGTACAATGAAATAGCATTATTTTGTGTGTTACAGTTAAGCTTTTTGAGAAACGTGTCCTAATATTTCTTGAAAATTGATATTTTTAGAACAATTCCATAAAACACAATGTTAAAGAAAAATTGCATTTTTTGACACTTTTTAAAACCCAGAATTTTAAATAATTCAGAATTACAAAAAGTACTCCATCATTAAGTTATATGTTTTTTTTCAGCATATGTCACCAGGCTAGATTTTGAGTTATTGCATAATATCTCTGCCATAAGAACCTGTGGTAAAAGTGTTATAATAGTGTCAAAATGGCTACTTTCCACTACAACCATCAATTACTCGAAAAAAAGGCTGGTGACCCCTGACTTTTTTTTAGGTCAAAATCCTTATGTTGCCCTGTAGTACAGTTAATTGAAAAATGAATAAATTCTGGGTATTTTAACTTATGAGTAGACTTAAGTGCAATATGGACAAAACGTACTGTTTTTATATTGTTGTTCGATACTCCATACTGTAGATCAAATCGGATTATGATTTTATCATAAACTAAAAATGTCACATAAATGACACATAACATATTCGTTAGATGAAAAATCAAAACCACTAATACGCATGTGCAGATATTGTAATTGTACGTACTAAAATAATACGTGCACATGCGTATTAGAAAATGTCATTGATTCTTCGAACGAATATTCAGAGTCTCGCTTGGCTGATGTCACTTACACATAGAGGTACCAGGTTCATCACAAGTTCATCACGGATAGTCCAGCTTTATTCTCCCAATCAATCAGCCGAGGTAACCCCTCGCTGTACTGTTTTCTCGTTCTCTATTCCTCTTACAAAAGTTTACAAACTCTAAATTAAAAGTAAAATCTCCAAGGCGTGGCACGCAGAGTAACCATGCGACGTGACTAGCCAATCGCTGCAGTCGTTGGGACGATCACATGATTACCAGGCTTGTGTCTCACGGTTAAAGCCTTGCGAAGCCTAAATACAATAACTACTACCACTACTAAATACAATAAGTAAACAATCTTTTTATAAAATTCCTGTAATCTATGTTTATAATCTCCACCCTAGACATGCAAGTTGTTGATTCTAAACAATAGTCTAAACGGCGTGTGAACCGAATGTGCGAACGTGAAATCATACCAGTGTTACAAAAACGGCGTTACCAGGAAAAAATAATAAATCATAGTTCACAGCATTTACAAATATACAGTATCAAACACCAACATTAAATGTTCTCGTCTATACGCTTTCTATATAAAATGAGTTCGGATACCCATATAAAATTCGCCATCGTTTTGTTTTTCTTCAGATTTTCAAATAACCAGACCCATAACTACGAAATTCAGTTGTATTTTATTTGAAGCTTAATACGATACGGCTGCCAAAATAGGGTTAATGTTACATTTGAAGACAAGAAATGAATGTAATAGACCTGTACCAATCCTGTACCAATCAATACGTCGCCAATCTTACGCCAATACGTTCCCAATCCTACGCGAATCTCCAATCCTAGGATATCTTCACGCACATCGGAGTTTCGTGCATGGTGGCGCTCTTTCGGAACAACAGACACCCGGCCGTCAGCTGATTATGAAAAAAGCAACGGGTTGGTTGTGCCACCGCATCTCTGCAAAACTGTTTTACCGTGTTACGACCAAACGGAGCCTGTCTACGAACCCCATACTACAGTCTCAATTCAGCTCCAATATGACAGACATGGAGAACATGAAAAAGACGGCAGCGAATGCCATCGACGCAGCATCGAAAGATCTTCACGAACTGAGCATGGACATTTGGAACAATCCTGAACTCAACTTCGAGGAGCACCACGCCCACAAAGTGCTTACAAACTTTCTTGACAAAACCGGTTTCCAGGTGCAAAGGCATTACAAGTTGGACACAGCTTTCCGTGCTACCTACGACACCGGTAACACAGATGGTTTTAACGTGTGTCTGATTTCTGAATATGACGCTCTACCTGACATAGGACACGCCTGTGGTCATAACTTGATTGCTGAGGTAGGCGTCGGTGCTGGACTTGGTGCAAAGGCTGCACTTGAAGCGGGAGGTCACAAAGTTGGAAAGGTTAGTATTAGTTTGTATATATACTATATCTCAGATAACAATAAGAATATCTTTTCATTGTTATCTGAGTTGCAATGATTGGATGGGACCCAGTTTTAATTTATTCAAGCCCAGATAACACTATTATCTCAGATTCAAGCCATGATTACTTGTACCACAGCTGTCTTGAGTTGACAGAGCTTTCTAGAATTTTCGTGGTTATATATCATAAACTGGTTACAGCATCCTATTATGTACCAACAGATCTGAAAATAAAATAGACTACAAACTTAAGCTGCACATGTTGACAACAATATATTAATTGGTTAAACCTCCCTGATTCCCAACAGTCGGTTACAGATTAGTTAAATCGTGATCACTTGACGGTAATAAACGCTTTGTGACATTTTTCTGTTTAATAAGTCTGCACCCCTCCCCATCCAAACAAATTTTAATAGTGCAAAATAATGATGATTTTGATGTCATGACCATTGTCAGTCATTTATTTGGGTCATGTGGACCCCTCCCCTATCCCGTAAACAAAATTTTAATAGTGTTATTTCGAATTCATGTCAATTAATATTATTTTTAATATAGAGCTGGTATGAAATTAACATCAATTTGTATGAATGATCATAATCACCTTGTCAAATTCTTTTCAAGTTGATAGTACTTGGTACACCGGCAGAAGAAGGTGGTGGTGGAAAAATCAATTTGATTGAAGCAGGGGCTTTTAAAGACATTGATGTAGCCATGATGGCACATCCAACTGACAGGCAGAACAATATTCCAACACCAAAGCAAATGGCTATGATTCAGTAAGTGCAAATATATGTTAAGCATGCAGCAAATGGCTATGATTCAGTAAGTGCAAATATATGTTAAGCATGCAGCAAATGGCTATGATTCAGTAAGTGCAAATATATGTTAAGCATGCAGCAAATGGCTATGATTCAGTAAGTGCAAATATATGTTAGGCATGCAGCAAATGGCTATGATTCAGTAAGTGCAAATATATGTTAAGCATGCAGCAAATGGCTATGATTCAGTAAGTGCAAAGATATGTTAAGCATGCAGTCCCTGGGCACAGTTCCAGAAGCTGTACCTACACACGAATTGGTGACGTCACAAAATACATGACCTTCAATCGGGGTCGTTTGCACCATATATACGAATTGGTACATGTATATACAAATTACAATAAAGATACTTAAGACATTATACATAAGGTGAAAGAAATCACGTGACAATATAATGATAATAATGGTAATAAATCCTAGCTTAACAGTTGAACAGAACGAACATATTATAGTCAGTGGGGTCATGCCAAGGGTCACGCACTTCGTTGCAAAATGGCCATGTGGTTGAAACTGGCGTGAGGGGTGAGGAAGGCATCATTAAACACTCACAAAATCACAATAAAATGGGGAAGTGGTCGCATATTACGGCGTAGCCAACATGGGAAATGAAAAAACGCCAAGGGTTTGAATCCTCCTACATTGTAGATACACACTCACCGGAACCGAAGCAATCGTTTTGGCTTTTTTGTTCAACTCATCGAACATTGAAGTAGTTAGCAAAATGAACACCACTCAATGACCAACGTCGTGGCGTGGTACACAAGCGTGCCATCAAGATAACAAAATTAGCTTGAAAAGGCAGTGGTTTCAAACCTCGCTCAGAGCTACCGTAAAAAACATAAATAAATTGAAATCACAATTAAATAAAATATCCAATGATACCAGTATATTTATTTCATTATTTTTACAACTTGTAATGGTGGAAATTAATCAAACGCGAGTTCTTTCCACCTAAATAAGCATCAAATATTTGTCTGCATGTTTATTCTCTCAATTTAACAACCTTGTAGAGGTGAAAATTAATTAGACAGGTATTTACTCACAAATACATGGCCAATATTTATGTCTCAAATATTTGTCCATACATTTATTCTCTCAATTTAACAACTTGTAATGGTGGGAATTAATCAAACGAGAGTTGTTTACATTAAAATAAGTATCAAATCTTTGTCCACACATTTATTCTCCCAATTTAACAATTTGTAATGGTGGAAATTAATCAAACAAGAGTTGTTTACACCAAAATAAGAATCAAATATTTGTCCATACATTTTTTTTCACAATTTAACAACTTCTAATGGTGGAAATCAATTAAACGTGACTTGTCTACACCAAAATAAGTCTCAAATATTTGTCCACACATTTATTTTTACAATTTAACAACTTGTAACTGTGAAATTAATTAAACATGACTTGTCTACACCAAAATAAGTCTCAAATATTTGTTCACACATTTATTCTCCCAATTTAACAACTTATAATGGTAGAAATTAATTAAACGTGACTTGTTTAATCATTTGACATCATTCCAACTTTCTCGCAGACAGTGCACAAGAGAGAATCATTATGGTATGCATATAGTTTACACAACGAGAAAACACCAAATTGCCAATATTTTTGACAATTGTAACTCAATAATAGAAATATGTTGTATTTCTTCATATATTCTAGTAGTCTCATCAAATGCAAATACAACCAGTCAATCGATCGTGGTCTTGTGGGTCAGTTGTCTACATAGTGATCAGGAGGACCTGGGTTCACTTCTCATCCCTGTCTGTCTTTTTTCGCAAACACTAAACTTGCAATAAAGCTAAGTATGACAACAAATTATTCTTTGCTTGACTATCCACATGGCACTGTGGATTTGTACACCATCAGCAATGTGGGATAGCTACAGTTAGTACGATTTTTGAATGCTAGTGCGAACAGTGCTCCTATAAATAAGACTTAAATCCTATCACTTGTGTGATAATATTCGTGCTACAGTGGACAAGACAGAGTGCTGGAAACTCAAAGATTGTTCGAATCACTGACTGGAGACTCCTTCAAAAGACATGAAAGATGTTAAAGACATAAACAACTGCTTCAGTATATCAGGGACTCAAGTCAATAACAGAACACAAGAATGGAAGCCAGTCATTGCTGACGAAGCAGGCGTCAAATTATGAACACAGTTGACAGCTGCAAGTCACATTCAACAACAACAGACACAAGAATCATTGCTGCTCTCCAAATAGGTCCCTTCACTAATAATGAATATTCATGAGTACAGAAACTACCATGACATGAATAAATTAGCATAATTTTAAAAAAATTGCATAAAGTGTTGGTATGTCTTCTGGAACTATGCCAAAAATTACATATGCTTGCACCTATTCACAAAATGTACTGACAAACATGGTTGTTAAGGGCATGGACATGTTTCTAGGGTATATTATATGAATAATCACCTTTATTATGTGACATTTCAGTAGTAGTAGATGAATCACATCCCCTTGCCTCCCTTACCGCCTCCCAAACTTCATCTACCAAGTGGGAAAAAATGTTTACCACAAGCAAATGGAGAAATATGATTGAAACAGAGAATTGAATTTATTCTTAACTAAAATGAACAAATTTGATAAAAGGTCTGCTTACCATAGCAACTGTGTGTGGATGTTTTATATCAAGATATCTAAAAATGACAATATTGATGTGTTAAAATGACAGTCATTAAATATGCAGCTCAAATCCAGTTACTCAGTAGCACAAATATTTGCAAAACATTTTTAAAAAAACAAAAATTTCACTAATGAGCCCACATACTTGCACTTTATGTATAAAAATACAAATAGTAAGAAGTACAAAAACTTTAATTGGTAGAATACAGATTGTGAAGAGCTTTGCTATATCAAAGTTTGTGTATCTTATGAGAATGATCCCTGTACCAAAGAAAGTTTTGCTTGAGGTAAATAGAAAGTGTTTCAATTTTATTTGGCAAGGTCATGACCGGGTGGTTCGCAATGTTATGATTGCAGACATAGGAGAAGGTGGCTTTGAAAGCCCCTGATATCTTTACAATGTACGGTACATTTCGTATAATGTGGTTGAAAAGGTACTTTGACCCTTCAGTGACCCATGCATGGAAAAAATTATTCTTAAAAAGGTTAAAGCCTGTTGGAGGCAACTTAATATTTAGTTGTAAATACGGACTTGAATATTTAAAAATCAACATGTCCGAATTTTATCGTGAAGCCTTGGTAGCTTGCTTGGTCTACTCTTCAAAATTTAGATATTAAAAATCAAATATCACATCATATAATTTGGAACAACAAGGATATCCTAATTGATAACAAATGTTTTTCCCTACAATTGCCAATAAGGGTATCAGTTGCATTGGTGATTTATTTCCAAATAACACACCCGTCAGTATTGCTGTCTCACCTGCTAAACATAACCTAACCAGACTTGAAATATATCTTGTGAGTTGTGTTTTTAATACGATTACAAAAAAAACACACGAGGGAAGCTTGTTCACATGTTTCTTATCCTATCCAAAGGTTTTCGTACGATTCAATGCCAAATATTTGTATTGATGGTAAGAATATACTGGCATCTGTGCTTAGTAAAAATTGTATAAAAAATTACTTTCGTCGTGCAAAGACTATTCCTCCAAATAGTTCAGAGTATTTTATAAAAGATTTTAAACTCAACTTTGCTGCAATGTCTAAATATTACGTTTTACCATTTAGGACAGCAATTGACACGAAATCAAAAGAATTTCAATTTAAGTTACTACATACAATTTTGTAATTATGATCTTTTTAAAATGAAATCATCAAAGGTTAGTAGTCCGAATTGTTCGTTCTGTCATCAGGAAACGGAAACTACTTACCATCTTTTTTATTATTGTAAATATACAAACAAATTTTGGTTTGCCCTTAGTGATGTATTTAAAAACATCTTTGGTCCAGATGCTCTTTCCCTCGGGCAGATAATTTTAGGCTGTACTGATTTTTCAGTGTTGGCGAATTATTTGGTACTTTTGAGGAAGCAATATATTTATAATTGTAAAATGAGTAAGAGTCTACCGAGTGATGTATATTTTCGTAAGGTGGTAACTGAAGCATGCGAGATTGAAAAGCATATAGCTATATCTAAAAACAAATTGGAATTACATTTACGGAAGTGGTCTATTATCTCTATTGTCTAGTGTGTAAATTTTTTTTGATTTCAGTGAATTAGCAATTATCTTGTTTTTGTTTTATTTCTTTTACTCTTGTTTGCTTGTCTTTGTCGTTTTGTATTATGTAATTAATGTTTACTGTAATGTATGTAATCAAACGAAATAAAATTGTGTAAAGAGAAAAAAATCAAGTACAAAAAAACAAAAAAATAATCAGATATATTACCATGAAACAAACTATCCATGTGAAATGAAAGCAATCAGGCTTGCAATAGGGGATTTTTTATTCACCTTGAGATTTCACATATTGCATGAAAAGCACGGACCAAATGTCTGTCGCAAAGATTGAATGATTTGATTTTGAATCAATGTCGTAATGGCGATCCTTGAAAGGGGAATATTGCATTGAGATACCCTTACTTCATAGAAATTAATCATTATCAAATGTGTGTATAGCACATTATTAAGCGTGGAAACACCCAAAAATATTTTCATTTTTGACAAACTTCATGCGATGTTCGGAAGCCACTACAACTCTATGACCTTTGTTTGTCCTGTTTTGTTTGTTCGATTTCATGCATAATGCAGGATCTTGCAGTCAACGATTTATTCATTGGGGTACTGTGAATATCTAATCTCATTGTTGTAGCCTCTTAACATTCTGCAAAGAAGTGATTTTAATAATTTTAATAATTCATTTTTAGGATGGATATCACCTATACAGGTAAAGCTTCTCATGCAGCCTATGCACCCTGGGAAGGCATCAACGCTTTGGACGCCGCTGTGATGTTCTACCAGAACATGTCAGTTATGAGACAACAATTGAAACCAACATGGAGAACTCATGGTATGAATGAAAAAATTTATTTCATTTTCACTTATCACTTATCACCACTACTGATATAAGATACCATGATCACAGTATCACCACTATTACTACTATACCACAAACACTACATGTATCCCACCACCTGTATAACACCATCACTAGCTATATACCACCACTACCTGTTATCACCCACCACTACCTGTATATTATCACCACTACCTGTATAACACCACTTCTACCTGTATACTGCAACAACTACCTTTATACCACCACCTCTACCTTTATACCACCACCTCTACCTTTATACCACCACCTCTACCTGTATGGCACCACCATGGCCTGTATACCTCCACCTCTACCCATATACCTCCACCTCTACCCATATACCTCCACCTCTACCCATATACCTCCACCTCTACCCATATACCTCCACCTCTACCCATATACCTCCACCTCTGCCCATATACCTCCACCTCTGCCCATATACCTCACCTCTACCCATATACCTCTACCTCTACCCATATAACTCCACCTCTACCCATATACC